GGAAGTACTTCAAGTATTAGTATTACCTACAAAGCCACATATATAAATTACATTTGATAATTGCATATATATATAAATATATAAATAAAGGATACATTAACACTGTAAATAAAAAGTTTAATTATAAAATTGATTCAAAATGGGGGCCCTGAAAGAGATATTTATTACCATTCAAGGTACACCGAAGCACTTCCACGAATACCCATTATTTATATCAATATGATCTACAGAATTAATTAGACGATTTGATGCACAAATTAATTAAATCTAATTAAGGATTTAATTAAAAACTCTTAATTAACGCGAGCTCATGTTAATTCACGAACAATTTCTTTGACATTTGAAGTGGCTGAAGTTAGGAAAATGACGACCGCAACTGTTTGTGCAATTTAAAGCGCAAAATTCAAACAGAAATTTGAAACATTGTGAAATTCACTTATAATTAAATTGTTCAAAGTGCTTAAAAATGATTGATCTAAAATTTTTACTTAAAACCAATTCGAAAATTATATACTATACAATTTAAAATTACAATTACAATTAACTATCATGATAATAATTTATACAAGTTATCGAAAACTCAAATAATTTATAATATAATTCTAATTTATACAACAAAGTATAGTATATATTATAGTATATACTATTTCGGCTATAATCCTAGCCGGCTAAACGTATTCAGTGGAAACTAAAAATAAAATTAAAAACTAAAACGATTGAATTGGAATGAAGAGAAAAAAAAGAAAAAAGCAAATAGTACTTACAATTAAATAGATTTTGATAATCCATGGTATCAGGATATGTTAATGTACAACACTATGTAATATGAACATTAAACTTGCAATTAAACAATATTTCACAATTTACTAACGTAAAAAATCACAGATAGATAGTGTGTGTGATATATGTGTTGTCAGTAAACTGGTTTTGAAAACATAACGGAGAAAAGATTTTTTTAAAAATATTTTTACCAAGATTCTACACATGTGTGGTAGTTCCACATTGCATTGTACGGGTTCCGGTCCCATGATTATCCGTGATTCTTCTTAATGGGTCGATAATAAAATATCATTAAAAAAAAATCTAGCTCTGAGAAAAGAGGTTAGTCAAATAGTTCACTGGCCCTTCTACTATTACGCGCTTCGTTATTTCGTCTTTAAAACAGCTACGCAACGCTATTGCTTTAAAAAAAGTTCAAAATTTTCAAAAAAAATCGAAATATAAAAACGGCAAATTTTTTAAAGAAATCCACAATTTTTGGTCGGAACGTTCCACCAATTTTCCTTAAAGCAGCCGTATATATACATACATATATATGTATATATACATATATATATACATATATATATACACACATATATATATATATATATATATATATATATATATACAGTAGAATCCGATTAGTATGACGCCGGATATATTGACAACCGTTTATTATGACGTACTTGCACTAGGAAGTTTGGTTTCCATACAAAATCCCTTAAAAAAATAGTCGTCTAGTCGGATATATTGACGTCGCTTACATTGAAATGTCGCTTATAATGACCCATTTTTGCAAAAAAAATTTGTCCAATTATAATGACCGACATGATTTTACATGATATGGCCAAGTCTACGAAAGCAATTGCTATGTCTTTTGTGCACAATAGCACCAGGGACTGCTTTTACAATAAAATTATGTAAAGAAATCAATCAAAAATTACTGTTAATAAGTAGGGTAGACCAATAATTAATGGTCCACCACTGATATCTCGCAAACAAATAAAATTAGATTTTTTTAACAAAAATGTTTGATAAAGTAGAGGGCAAAAAATGTATAAATTCATAACCAGCCATCATCTTTATTCTTATGACTTTGCTATCAGAAGATCATGTAAAATCATGTCGGTCATTATAATTGGTCAAATTTTTTTGCAAAAATGGGTCATTATAAGCGACATGTCAATGTAAGCGACGTCAATATATCCGACCAATATGAGTGGGATAAAAAGGACCAGCAGAACCTTTACTTTGACAAAGGTGTAAGCAATAAAATAGTAAAGTTTTAAAAAAGCAATTTTACAAGAGATTAATTAAATAAATTGTTATTCCGGCTCGTCTGATGAATATTTCTGACCAATAGCAGATCAATGTAATATACTGTGTTGTCTTTGTAACAAATGTACCCACAGAATTAATATTTTGCATCGGTTCAATAATGTAGCGTAAAATCCCTTTAAAATTTATTAGAAGAAATTGCATCTGTTTGCCCCCTGGTTGTCCCACTTTACCCCGTATGTGAGGTAAAATGATACAGATATCAAATTTTGAAAAAATTTTAAAAAAGATATTATTTATATTATTAGAATTATGTGAAATTTTAACATAGTTCGATAGATGCTTGTTTGATGTGTGTTATGTGTTGCAAGGTTGTTCATTGGTTTAGACAGTATAATTACTGAAAGTCAAATTGGACCTTTGTGCCCCACCCTTTTATATTAAATTTTAATACGTGTCATATTTATTTTTAATTAAAATGTATGTATATGCTTTCTTTTAATTTACTGAAACATGGAACATATTTTCATATTAAAAATTTTCTTCAGTATGCTTTGTATGACGACCGGTTAGTATGACGAGATTTCGTCGTCCCTTCGATGTCATACTAAGCGGATTCCACTGTATATATATATATATATATATATATATATATGTGTATACTTGCAACAGCACGCGCGTTTACCAGTTGAAGTCGTATTATTGTCCATGGACCTTGATTGCGAGAATATATACTTAATATTAACGACATCAATGTGTCAATCGTGTTTTGAATTATTACTACTTATTTCTGGTACTGATATATATATATATATATATATATATATATATATATATTCTGAATGAATTGGTTCAGCATAACAGTAAGTATAAAATATAATGTAATTAAAAAGTTTTTCAAATCCTTATATAAATATAATATATATATATATATATATATATATATATATGTATATATTTCTGTATATGTATAATAATTTTTCTTCAGATGAAAAAAAACGTGGAGATAAAAACAAAAAGTTTTATGGGCAGGCATTCATCCAGATAACAGATCAAAAATTAAATTAAGTTTCTAAACGACAACTATTTTGAGGAGGAATAATGCTTATGGTAAAATTCTATCAGAATCCTATTAGATTTCTTAAACAATGTATGTTCATTATAAGATACTCGATGTCTTAAATTATTTACTTTGCTATAAATTTAAACAGAAAGACAGAAGAAACATCGAAAGTGATTGTATTTTTTAATACAGATCATTGCGTATTTTGAGTTATTTTAATAGCCTTACAGTGATATTATTAAATGATATTAATGCAATTAAAACTAGAGGTGCAAGGCATCGTGTCTTAAATCAAATATCTAGAACTTTCCAAACCGTATTATCATACGGCTCTAATCAATTGAACAGTGAGCTCTTATGAAGAATAAGGTAGTATGTATCCTTTATCTATCATTTAAAAAATTCTTCTAACCTTTTACTTTTTATTTCAGACTAAATTCTGCACTACTAAATCAACTGCCCTCATCGACTCTATTCAATCAAAAAATTTAGAAATATTTTACATGAATGAAAATTTTAAAAGCTTTAAACTTCTATACTCGAAAATGTTAAGAATATTTGTTTGAACTATGTAAATGAACTTTAAACATTATAAATCTTGGTGCGGAATCCAAAGAATGGAAAAAAAATTATACTTATCATTTAAAAATATCTGAATTTGAGGTGCATATGCCTAATGATCATTTTGACCGCCAAATGACATTCTTTTAACGTTTTTTCGGAATCTATAAAACCGCTGGGCCTGCCTTCCCTAAATTGTAATCAATTCTTCATTCCGTCAATACAAGTGAAATGTTTTTCGAATCATTCAATTGGACTCTCCTCACCGAATTGCCATATTTTGCACCAGACTTTGTCAAAACCTAATCAGCACATCTGCCCATCAATAGAATCGAATGAATGGTTTTTGAATCATTCAAATCTTATTCCCTTTTATCTATAGGTTGATCGGTGCACTCTTCTGTTATGTATGGATTCACACACGCATACAGGTGATGTATGAAAATCCATTATTCAAAAATATACCCTCAGAAACCTCTGAAATGTTAAGATGTGCAAAAATTTTATTTTCGATTGTTTTGCGATTACTATTAACTATGCTCAAATCCTACTATAACGAAGATATTTCTTTACTTTTACTATTAAAGAAGTATTTAAAAATATACTTTCCACGGATTGCTATTATATTATGATGTTTATATAATTCTTTAAATACTCCCTAGCTGCTACCACCCTGACTTCATATATATATATATATATCTATATATATATATATATATATATATATAAATATTTGTAGTATGTATACTGTTATCGTACAGATGTAAGTCTATCCTTGGTCTCAGGTATAATCAATAATAAGACTTCATAATTCGCCGTATAAGCTTCTACAAAAATAAATACTAATCTGGATAAAAATTTAACAAAATAACAAAAATATAAGAACAAATGCTAAACTATGATTATACTTATGCAATTACATTTTGCAATTAATCAGAAAATTAATGAAACAATGATTATTCAAAAGTGAGCGTCATTGTTTAATATTATAACAATAATAATTAAAATGTTTTGTTCGATTTTTATGGTGATATTTTTAATGTGCTATAATCGTAAATTGATCGGATATAATAAGGAATAGATATTGAACATTTTTGGGAGGATTGTTTTTGTTAGATTATAGAATTGAAGAAGCACTAGGGCATTTTCGATTAATTGCTTTAATAGGGCTCGCGTTCATTATTTGCAGAACTAATTGATTGGGGGGGTACCAGTACATTCAATGCCATTGTGTACGAGTGTGGTGAGTTGCGTGCAAACAGTTGGTTCAGTGGATTTTATCAACGCAAAAGCGTAGTACGTACGTCGCGGTTAACGCGACAATATTCAAAAAAAAATGTACGGAATACTGTTAGAAAATTTAGTGTCCTTCATTAAAGAAGTTTACGGAGAAGACAAATGGCATGAAATCCGACGTCAAGCTGGCATCGATGCCCCAGCATTCAGTGTTCATCAAGTTTATCCGAAAACTTACTGAACACGTTGGCTAAAAGAGCTCAACAGGTTCGGGATTTTATACCTCGAACTATATCAATTATTCCAATGTGGCGATCATTCCATTTCTCTAGGTTTTAGGTTTGACCGAACGTGAGTTTATGACCGCAATGGGTGTTCAGTTTGTGAGTTTTGTGAGCCAATATGGATATGACAAAGTATTATCGGTTCTCGGAAGACATATGAGGGATTTTTTGAATGGTTTGGATAATTTGCACGAGTACTTGAAATTTTCATACCCAAAATGCAAGCACCAAGTTTTATATGTGAGAATGAAACAAGGCAAGGTTTAACCTTGCATTACAGAAGCAAACGGAGAGGTTTCGTGTATTACACGATGGGTCAAATTAGAGAGGTTAGTGAATTAAGAACTGAAGGTACTAAACACATTAATGTTAGTATTAGGTTGTCAAATATCTCCCTTCCGCCTTTTTGTATTATAAACCAAGAGCAAAAAAGCGGAAGGGAGATTTTGACAACCTAATATTATACATTGCTACTTTACACCTTCATAATAAAGATAATTATATTTAATGTACAATAAGTAACCATACCGTATAACAAAGGGTTACGTTTCAAAAAACTACCTACAAACTGTTACGCGACGTTCGTGCTATACGAAACAGAGCAGGGATTAGTACAAAAAGAGGGGTCGTGTTCCAAAACTTGAGAAAAAAGATACATATTATAATTTCATAATAAAGGTAATTATTTTTATTAAATTTTCTTAACTAGTAAACTTATTAAATTTATAATCATTTGTTTTCTCCGTCATAACTAACAATAAGTGCTATCCAATACGAACTATTTTTTGGCAAGATATCTTCATCCCCTGAGCATTTTTTGTACTGGTTTCAGACTCATCCTCTTTGCAAATTTTCGTAAAAAATCTGTTATTTGCGATAGTTTAGTTTTATGAAAAGATCTTTATATATTTTTTTATTGATGCTACATACAAGCAATGCGCTTATTTTATTTGAAGGATCTTTATTATATAATATGGCCAACTATTTGGTAAGCCTAGACATTTTTTTTGGATAGTACGTACGCACTTCAATTTAAAATTGTTAAATGAGGTATCATTTCCACTGGTTTTAATACGTTTTATGAGATGTTGTACGGTGATTTCACTAATTTTAATAAATTTAAGCTTTAATAGCTTTTTTCTTTTATTTTATAAATATTTGCTTAATTCTCGAACTTTGTTAAAGTGTAACCGTGCTAGTAAAGTATCATATTATAAGAGGG